GTTCTTTTTGTTTGGCTTAAGGCTCCAGCTGACAGTGAGTCTTTCCCAGCTTTTCTTCATTTAAAAGATGGGGAAAGGATGTAGGACAGCTCTTCAACAATCCCACCACACCAGGGTACTTTACTAAGATAACTTCTGGATGGAATCTAGTTTGCCAGTTGTGCCCCGTGTAACTTTGGAGCTGGATTTCCCAGCTCCAATTAATTTTGCTTTAGCATCATTCAGAATCCATCAAGGTCTTCTTCCCTTATTTAAAAAAATTACTACAGAAATTTGCCCAACATTCTACAATTTCCAATAGCATTTGAACCATTACTGCTTAAAAAAAGTTGCAATATTGCGTGCCTGCCCTGTACTTATGAGCTACAAGAACTATTCCTAATTAATTTTCTTTATGCATACTCCGCATGACAAATAAATTGAGGCTTACGTTTCAAGTGAAATCCCCCCAAAAGCAAGAAAATTCCAGGGATAGAAAAGCTGCTTTGGACAATAATTTAAAAATTACTTTTGCATTCAATAATCAGTAACATATTTACTGATTCTTTCTGGTAGAAGCAAGAAGTAATCAGCTATTTTTGCATGGTGTGTGCAGAAAACGGAGATTGTGCCCGTAACTACACAATGTGACCTTCACACTAGGGACAAACGTGACACGGAAAGTAACTGATTACTCTCTAGAATGAAATTTTTTAACAGCACAAACTGACCCGGGAATTTCAGTTTTAGCATTTCCCTCTAGAATGGGAAAACTTAAAATTCATTCAGGTAATGTCTATCAAGCTGATAAGACTGGAAATACTCACGATAGTTGCCTTTCAATAAAATTTAGATAGATTGGACACATTCAAAGAAGGGGGAAAAAAGGCCATAAGGCAGAACTCAGTTTGGGTGTGTAATTCATGCAATGGAGCATTGATAGAAAGCATTCATCATAAAGGTAGGGGTAATGTACAACTTGGAGACCAGACCATCACCAAAGCCCAACAATGCAGGAAATGAGATATTCTCCATTTCCGTTCATGCACCAGCAATGGAGTGTAATATCTGCTGGCACCAAGCAGCTTAAAAGTACACTTTCGTTTATCAGTAAGCGAGGTCTGACAGACTGATTTCCATGTAACTGTAAAATACATGGAAAATGCTTACTAATTTGCATTAATTATCAAACTAATGATAATATATCACATAATGGAACTTTTCCTTTAGTTTCTGGTAGCTGTAGTAGTAAATGTTCTGTAGTATGTTTTATAGATGCAATCAAGTCTAGGTAATATGAGACACTACAAGCTGCCATTACCTCTTTGCAGGGAGGCAGGGTGAGCCTTCTGGATTATTAATTATTATTATTATTGGTGGGAGTGGAGGAGGAGAAAATTATTGCCTCTATAGATCAGGCATCTTCACATTAGCAAAGCTGTGTGTGTACATACAAACACAGAGTTATATTTGGGATCTAGAACACAGGAAATTATAAATTACAGTTCCCACAGCAAATCTCATCCTTTGGTATAAATTGGTTCAACTGCAAATTCTGTATTACCAAATTTCATTTAATGCTTTAATATGTAAGTAAGTAGGCAGGTTGGCTGAATTTTGGATTCATGGAAACTAGAATTTTAAGATTTTAAAATGCTATCATTAGGAAATAGAATTAAAATGTTCCATCAAAGTAGTTCTTTGCATATAAATCTACTGGCTTTTAAAAATATGAAAGAAAACATGCATGTTCCTTTTAATGTGCAATAGGATATGGCAGATATACATATGGAGAACCACCTTTCTGTTTGAATCACTATGCAATTCAAACATGCAAAGCTACCGAATGTACACCTAGGGAAACCTATAGTCATGTTTACTCAAATGGGCTATGTGATTTTTAAAAAGCTATACCTTTCCCTGCTCCCTCCAATTCAACAAGATGAATTTATTTCCATGTGCAGATATTCAGCTACAGACATCCTGATGCATAGGCAGGATAAATTACACATGGTGCACTTGGGAAAAATGCCCCACTGTATAAGTACCTTCCTGAATCAGAGCCATAAAGAGTGCCTAATTTTAAACATGCATGTCAATGGGACTACTTACGTGCATGCTTAACGTTCAGCATTGAAGTACCTTGCTGACTTGAAGCCAATGTGCAGTGGATTTAAAACTTCATTTCTCAGTCAATTTCAAAGTATCAAAGCGCATAGTCCCTTATGTGGGATAGAGACAGCACAAGCCAGGTCTGGTTTGATGGGAAAGGAAGAGAGAGAGATTGTTCAGTCTCTCTGTCAAATCAGTCCTTGGCTTATCCACCAGGAATGTTCCAATAAGGATGCTAGTTGTGGTGATGTTAAGCAGATGGACATCTACTTAATGGGAACTTCCTTAATCTTAAATCAATTTAAGATTTCCACTTTAGATTCATGTAAATGATTGTAAATGTAGGTCTCAACTTTCCCACCAAATCCCCAACTGGTCTTCATCATCTGACAGTTTTCCTCCCATCATTAAAATAAAAGCAGCAGCAGCTTATTTAAGTACAGGATGCGCACAGTGAGATACACAGTTCAAATATATTTGGTCAAATTCTGCATTGACTTATGTTCTCCCCTCCACCCCATCCCGCTATTGACTTCAATGGAGTTGTATCTGGGTGAGAGTACAAAAACGGGGCGCTACTGTCCAAAGACAGAGAGCTAATTCTTCTAAAACAAATCCCTCCAGTAGTCAAGTTTAACAAGCATATATTATCTGCAGAAAGTCCTTGTAAAAAGTCAATCCCAAAGAGACAGTCTGACTCTCCCCGTAAGAGGATACCACAGCTTAAGTTGAACCACCTCAGAGTTTTTCAAACAAACAAATTGGCACACTGAAGCATTCTGCAAGTAGAGATCATTGACATCGCAGTACAAGCACTTGGACTGAGATATAACAATGCAATATTCTTCTGAGTTCATTAGTGCAAGTTTCCACATGTGAACCCCACACGAAATGCTGCACATTTAAACATGTAAACAATGTAGAAGTCTCAATTCTGATCAGCACCCCAGCCTCTGCTCACCCTCTCTTCATATAAATGGATTGGATTTCCTTTTATAGCTCACAATTCCTTCCAACATCCATCCTACTGGAGACCACAAGCAAGTTTCTTCACCTACAGGAAGAGCCAAAGGAATAGCTACCAAAATTCCTAGGTACCTAGAATAAAGCTCAAGTTATCAGCTGGGTTAATATTTATGCAAAAGTTAGTGCACCTGACCCAATGGTCAATTCCAATCGTCTGAGGATCATTCCGAATTTTTTTTAAATATTTTGCTCGAAAGCTTCCTTGGGTATCTTCAATTATTAGAAAGGTACAGCGAGAACTCCAAACTTCATGGTTTCCCTTCGAGCTGAAACCGAGAGAGGCTCCAACAGTCAAGCTGAAATGCAGCACGGGCAAGAATCACTCAAAACTTCATGAAAAGTATGGGATTTAAAACTAGAATGTTTTTAGCCTGCATCTCTTAGTAGAAACTGACTGTAACAGAGCAGTAAACCCATCTGTCCCTTATGAAGAGTTATTACACCAATGCTGAGCCCCAGTACTTCAATGCAGGAGTCCCTCAGTACCCTTTGTGAGGAGAGGTAAGATTTAGGGTCTGATCTTTGGAGGGGCTCCGGAAACTCCCATTAAAAGTTAATGGGAATAGCAGATTGGTAACACATCCCAAGATCAGATCCATTGTGAGCTCCGCTAGTTCAGGCTGTTGAACGCAAACACTGCACAGGAGTCAGAAAGAGTTAAGAAGATCATATGTTGCCCTTCAGTTCATGCAAACTGTTTTTAAAATGAACTCATACTATCCCTTTCTAATTGCCAAAGGAGCTAAGGAGATACAAAAATACAGGATGCTAATATAAAATGATTTGGTTAAGAATATCTTAAAATTTGACATTCACAGTGGTTAATACTAAAGTATTAAATGCATGCCACGCAAAAGAGGAGGTATGTAGAAATCATACTGAGAAGACCGGCTTACCTAACACGAACACAGCATGAACAGTTAATACAGCAGGGGAAACATTTCTAATGATCAAAATTCCATTTCTTATAGATTGTGTCCCATCCCCCCGGCGACAATGTTTAAATGCTTTCTTACTAGGAAATAATATAAATATATATATAAATGATTTGTATACTGTGATATTAACTATACACTGAAAGTATTGCAAGGATACAGGATTCATTTACAGTAAAACTAGCAATTTATGGTTAAATTTATAGTTTATAAATATGTTGTCTATATTATATGTGGTATAAAAATATTTGACATTTTGTGGGCACTAAATCAAAACAGTTTTTAAGAGACTAAAATGATTCAGGTCTATGCATATTACCGTTGTCAATTACATGAGAATTGGACTGACTTGGTACAAAATGGAATCCTGCGGCATCCGCTGAATAAAGAAACCCAACACATAACATGCACTGCAAGACAAGGCTAATAAAAAACGTAGAGGATGAATTTTCATTAGCCCAATTCTAGAAGTACTTTAAACAAGGAAATCTGATTTAACAAAATGGCTCTGGGGGGGAAAGCAGAGGATGCCGGGGTGGGAAATGCCAAAAAAAAATTAAAGACATTTTTAAAAGTGTACTCAACAAAATTATTGAACTTCCAGCAATGGAGAAAGTTTTAAAACAGGGGGAGTGATGCAAATGTAGGCAAAAAAAATGCAGATGCATTTTAATTTTAAAAGTGTGACAATATATTCTAATATTTCATTATATTTGTACACACATATATAATAAAATACTATAACATATCTATTCGCTGCTACGATTGCTGTATTCCTGTAGAAAACATAAAGCCCTTTGTGTATGGTTAATATCTGTCCTGACTGTTTCTTCAAGTTTAACTTTCATTGCTGGCCCTCCATAGTTAATGTAGAGGTTATTTGGCTACTTCCAAGTATCTATGGTATGCTGCTCTGAGACGGACTTCTTTTTTTATTATTTTTAAAACTTTTTTGGTATTGACGAACCCCACACTTTGCCTCACTGGACAGTGACGCGTCCTGGTCCTTCCATTTTCTCATGTGCTCGGTCACTTCACTGGATTAAGGCATGTTTTTTGTTCCATTTGCAAAAATAAAAATTTTGTACAAATTTCTATTCTTTTATACAAAAATTTCTTCTTATGGCACAAGCAGCAGATGCTGTTTAAGAAAATATATAAATATCCTTTTTTCTTCTGTACAAATATCTCCAGTATTCACCACCCCATTTCATAACTTTTAACTGTACACTGTCCTGCCTCCTCCCTCTCCAATAGCTCCCTCCCCCCTCCCTGGTATGGACAATTTGTATTTACACTTTCGTAGTGGAGGCAGTTAAGGAAGGGGGTGGAGGGGCCCTCATGAGGAGTCTGTGCAGGGGGATGGAGGCGGCGGGTAGAGGTGATGGGAATAGCTCCGTTCTGTGTATGGGGAGGGCGGACAGCTTTCATAGTTCTCCTCCGCCGAGAGGTACTGGCTCCTTGGCGTCGGTGGAGGGGGCACAGGCTCGGAATCATAGTTCAAGTCACTGGTGTAGCCCTTAGTCACTGCTGTCGTGACCCGCCGGCTGGGGGCGTAGTCGCTGTCACAAACATCCGTGCTGCAGGGCGTGGTGGGAGGTGCAAAATGCCGGTAGCTGTATGGCCTGTAGCTATGTAAGGAAATTCATAGGAAAGATGTCAGCGCTTAAAGAGAAACTATAAGCCAAAGACTCAGATAACAGGACACAGGCCAGATGTATTGCCTCATGAAGGGAATACTCATTAGCAGAGCTGTGATTTTTCAGAGTGCCGGCACCTCCAAAACAAGGCCAGGTGCCCCCCCTCCTCCCCCCACACACAAAACCCCAACCCCACCTGTCTGGGGACAACCACCCCAAAAATTTTCAGAATTTTCGCAAATGGAAAAGTTGGAAATTAATTTATTTCATGTCAAAAGAAATGCTTTGTTTCACTTTTGGACATCTTTACTTTTCTTGTAAAGCTACATTAACAAGGGGACTTAATGTACAGTTCACAAAGCCAAGGAGGAGGGGCTGGTGATGAAGGTACAGCTGGTGGCACCCCAGCTTATACCCAGGAGCCTAGTGGTTAGGGCAGTCACCTGGAATGTGGAAGAGCCAGGTTCCAATCCCTGCTCTGGAGCAGGGACTGGAACCCATGTCTCCCCTCCCTCTCCTCCTTGTTTTTGTGAATGGTGTCTAAGTCCCCTAGTGAATCTAGGCAAAAAAAACTGAAATGTTCCTTTTCAGGAATGTCAAAATAAACAGTTTTGACATGTCTTAATTTTTTTTTTCTTCAACTGAAACCATTTGCCAAAATCAGCATCAATTCGTTAAATGTTTCAGTTGACCTGAGTCTGCATTTCTCAGTAAAAAATTTCAATCAAAGTATGTTGCCCAGCTCTACTAATTAGCCATCACCTTGGGCTAGACATCACAAAACCTCAACCCTGGTCAAACTGGTACAAAAGGGGTGGGATTTGGGGGGGTTTAGAGATTGGGGGAAAACAAAGCGTGTGGAGTAGATGTTCTATTTCCAGTAGCCTCTGCTGATTAATTCGGCACTGGATCAGAGTCCACAGACAGAAAAGCTAGCTCATGTGACTGTTTTACTGCAGCCAGGAGAAACATCTCCCTGAGCAGCTAACATAGCTGCAGTTCCCATGTGCTGCTATCAAAAAGCAGTTCTGTAGTGGGTGCAAGAAAAAAATCAAGTTGCACATATAGAGGAGAGCGACTTCTATTGCCTAAGACACTGAGGCTGTAGCAGCCACAATTGCCAGTGCCTCTGCGCCAAAATCAGAATGTCAATTCCTCTAGGTCAGTGGTTCTCAACCTTTCCAGACGATTGTACCCCTTTCAGGAGTCTGATTGGTCTTGCATACTCCCAAGTTTCACCTCACTTGAAAACAGACATAAAAATACAAAAGTGTGACAGCACATTACTGAAAAATTGCTTCATTTCTCATTTTCTCTGTCTGAAATTTTAGTTTGTACTGACTTCGCTAGTGCATTTTATGTAGCCTATTATAAAACTGGGCAAATATCTAGATGAGTTGATGTATCTGCTGGAAGATCTCTGCGCACCCCCAGTGGTACACATACCCCTGGTTGAGAACCACTGCTCTAGGTCAATGTCAGAATGTGAGTAAAGACAAGATGACCAGAAGCAGCAATAGGATATATTTTTGCCTGGGAGAGAGAGTTCTAGAAATATCAAACCCAGCACCACACGCTCAGTATCATTAATGAGATTCAAATGTCACATCAGCTAACAATGATCAGAGTTATCCAAGCCGGTGCCAAGCTTTGATGTTGGTTTGCTTTCTAAGTTGCCAGTCCCTTTTATAGACTTTTCATAATGCCAGAAGGGACCACTATGAACATCTAGTCTGACCTTCCATGGAACACTGGCCATATCTTCTGTTAAAGGAGAATAGATGATTTTTGAGCCCCAATAACTTCATTATCCACAAGCCCATTAGGAAGAACTTGTATATCTCTATAAAAACAACTCCCTCTGGTAGTCGACCAGTGCTGCTTCTGTGTCTGGGGTGGGGTGGGGGGCACGCCCTATAGCCTTGGAAAGGTGCTCCTTTTCTTTCATTTGTGGTAAAAACCCAAATAAATTAAAACAAAATCATTACAGCAAAGAGACTAAACATTCATCTTCGAGGGAAGGGAGAGTGTGCATTAACATTACATTAAATAAAAACAATGGGCAAAAGCTTACAAGTCTATAAACAATAGTGAAATAGGCCTTTAAAAAAGGAAATATGTAAAAGTTTAACAGTGAACCCCCCCTCTTAGCCCTCCCCCCAAAAGAAAACCAATAGGAAAAGGGTTAAAAAAGGATTTAAAAATTTAAATATAGATACATATAAAGAAAATCAGAAACTCTTCATTGTGGAATCAGAAATAATTATGTTAAGCACTAGCTAGGCTATGTAGCCACGTTATCTATGCAACATTAGACTCTCTTCTTTCTTTTTCCTTTCCTAGGATTTGCCTGTCATCTTTCTCAAGATGGCAAGGCCCAAATGACATATTGTGTGTACCAAACAAATTATTCATGCTGGAAATTTAAAATAGCATAAGACATTCTTCTAGAGTGAATGGCTCTCTCACTATCTTTCTGGTGTAAATTATTTTCAGTAATAAAAATAATGAGACACCAAGCTTATGCAAAACTTAAATAAGCTTTGGACAAAAACTGAGTGATGACCCTCAATGATACACATTTGAGAGGAATGCTGCTAACATATTTGTTGCATTCGGTCTTAAATTTTTGGCCCCAATCCTTCAGACACTTATGCACATGCTTCAGTGGGACTATCTTTTCAGGGCCAACATACCAGGCAGACTGGACCTGGGGTAAAAATCTGCCAACTGAATGCTGAAGGCATCTCTCAGTCCAAGTATGACTTCCTGGAGAAAATGGTGAAGACCAACATCCATGTTCTCACCCATGTCGCAAATGAAGAAAAGACCCGTTGCTACAAAATCTATGGCTATAAACTCAGCCAGCAATTACCACCCAAAATGGGGCCTGGCAATTTACATCAAGCAGGAGATCAAGAAATATGTGGTTCTACCTCCTACAGTGCACAAAGGAACAACTACCATCTCCGTGCGCATCGGCAAGCTAACCATCATTAATGTATATAAACAACCTGGTACACCATGCCTCAACCAACTCTGCAGAATGTGCAGGACCCTGCTTATTTGTGGGCACTACACACAATGAGGCTATGCTGCAGTCACTTAACAGTCACTACACACAATGAGGCTATGCTGCAAACAATCTTCCAGGCAAAGAACTGACAAACTGGATTTCAGCAAATGATATACGCCTCCTTTTTGATGCGAAACAGCAGGTCCCTTTCCAGTCTGCAAGATGGGGCAGAGGATATTGCCCTGACCCGATGTTCATCTCTAAAGATGATACAGAGCACACCAACACCCATGCCATGGATCGTCCTCAATGACTTCCTGAACACTCAGGACAGACGCATAATGGAATTCAAATCCCAGTTCTCTACTCAAAACCAGCGCCAGCAGGCTGGAACTTTAAAAAAAAAAAAAAAAAAAAAAAAGCAGACTGGGCCACTTTCACTATGATTGTGGAAAACACCATCTCCCGCATTCCCCCCTTCTGACCATTTTACTGCACTCCTAATCTCTGCCACGAAGAACAACATTCTCCGGGGACACAGGTATACTCCCGGCTCCTCCACAAATACGATGAGCGTAAAGACCCAAAAACTGGAAAAGCCCTCCTGGCATCACGGGCTGCAAGGCAGAAATGGTGGCTTGAATGTGTAGAAGGTCTAAACTTCACATGCTGGAGCAGACACGCCTGGAACACTTGGGGGCTGCAAACCCTACACCTGCTATTAGGCCACAGGTGAAAGCCAATGCCATCGCTGCTAACTGTTTGTGGACTTCAAAACAGCCAGCAAACAGACAGTAGTGCAGATAAGTCCAGCATCAGCTTCAGCAGGTGATGTCCACAGGCGTGCCATTGTCCCAATGGTCTGGGCAATTCAGAAGTAAGGAGATCGATACAGCCAGTGAAGCCACAAAACTGGGAAAAGCAGCAGGAAAAGATGGTATCTATCCTGTGTTCTTATATAACGTGGATCCACTGGCATGGAAATGGATGATTCAGCTTTTCACCAACATCCTGGAGACCGGTGAAATCCCCCAAGTGTGAAGAGAAGCCACGGTCATTTCCTAAAGCCTCTACTGTGACTTTCTGTATTAGCAAACATGGAACTTCCAGCTGTCCATCGAGATACAGCCATGGCACGTGAACTTAAATGCACCAAAGCCTACCCAGAACTTCCTATTCAGCAGGTTATGGATAACACATCCTAACACCACCTGAAATCGCAAAAACCACTGTGGACCACACGTGACCATCTCATGTCTCTGAATCCAGCCAGGGAATGGCAAAGTGTCTGGACCTCATCTACCGTTCCAAACAAACACAGTCATACTGACCCAACAAGCCGCCCTCTCAGTTTTGACCCACCTTGCAAACTTTGGACCACACTGAACTGCATCCAAACAACCCACGGAAGACGTCTCTAAGGTGCCACAAGTACTCCTGTTCTTTTTGTGGATTAACAAAGACTCCCCGTCGTGCGACTGTGCTGAGAACATCCAAACCATCCACCGCATCATAGCGCAGCCCCCCATATATGGATTCAAAGGTAAACTGGATGATATCCATAACATCATGGGGGCGGGAGGGTTGAAATGGCTTAAGGACCTACAACTGCATCTATAGCATGTTGCTCTGCAGATGGCATGTGCGAGACAGAGAGTGGAACTATTCATGTGATTAAAATTAAGCATCTGTATAACTGTTTGCAGGATCAGGGCCTTAGATTGTAAACTCTAGGGCGAGGATGGTCTTTTATTCTATGTTTGTACAGCAATTAGTACAATGAGGCTTTGATCCAGATTGAGGCTACTGTACTAATAAATTACCTGTAGGATCTATGAGTGGAAGGACTGTTTGAAGAATAACCAAATTCCATGGTGTAATGTGAGCGTTCAGTAGCTGGTGATGGCGGAGGATTCAAAATCTAAAAAAAAAAAGGCATCTTTTTAAAACAGCCACAATAAAATTAAAGAGGAAGAAAAAATTAAATGCAGCCATGACGATATTCCTACCCAATATTAAAGACAACACTAGTTCGCAGTTTACACCTTTCTTTCTTGTTAAGGCAAAGCTCAGTGCTGCACCTAGACAAAGCCATGGCCCCTTCCCCAGTGTAAATTCCTCTCTATAATCTCAACATCCTGTGAACCTCGCTTGTATCCATTTCCATCTAGGCTATCACTAAGCTTTCCTCCTAAGGAGGGGACTACTGTTGCTATTTTGAAGCACTTAATGCTGAAAAATAAACCCAAACCAGGCAATTCAATACTAGATTGTCATCAGGTATACTGCTATCCCAGGCAAACTGGCTGATGACTGCCACAACCAGGTCATAGTCACCAGATACTGTGCTGATTCCAGTATTGTTATTTTGCTGCCCCTTGTTCTTTTTATGACTGAACAGATTCTGGCTCTTAGAGGAAAGAGGATATTTCAACTGTAGTGAAATAAATATCCTAGGGGGAGTACGTTATGAGGCCTCTGACATCACGGTCAGCAGTTGAAATTCAGCCCACATTGATGATAATTCAATTTATCACCTTGTTTTGTGGGTTATAGATAAAGTAATTGGTAGAATTAGTTGCTACTGGAGGCAAGATTACTTAGAATCTAGACTGTAAACTCTTTTGGGCATGAACTGTCTTTTTGTTCTGTGTTTGTACAGCCACTAACACAATGGGGTCCTGGACCATGACTGTAGCTCCTAGGCGCTATGTTATTATAAATAACAACAACAACGTGTTTAATAGCATGAAAGCCACCATGGCAATTGGTTCTCCTGCAAGGACTGTGGATAGTAGACTCCCTTTTAGTGATGATCCCTCCATGCCAAGTTGGAGGTGCCTCAGTGGGGTCAAAGGGGAGAAGTGTTCTCTGCCTATGCTGTACCTGTTCTATAGTTTGGGGCTTTTACAGTCTCTAGGACAATCAGTCCAACACCTTTCACCAGCACGAAATCCATTAACTTTTTTAGTTTAGCAAGACATTCCTCTGCACTTTGGAAGAGGGCATGCTGTACACACACACGTCCTTCCAATTCACCCACTCCATATTCAACCAAACAGATTTGCTAGACTAGAAATCTAAAACAAAACCCTTGCCAAACAGCTAACCCCAGACATGCACGCTGCTACTGGACTGAAAGATACCCACGCCTGGAAGTGTGACTTACTGGAGGGAAGTAAGTGCCCTTGGTACTCGAAGAACTACTGGAGGATGCCCCTGTGACATGGGCTCTGTCGTAGGGAGGCCCGCTACTTCCGGCCATAATGCTGAGGGAGCTGATCACAGATTTACGCGACATTCCTAAAGAAAACGACAGACCCTATGTATATCAATATTAAAATCTTTAAAGCAAAACTGAAGAAGGGATGGGGGTTAAGGCTAAAATATCTCTACAGGATACAGGCACTATAAACACGACTCAAAAAAAAAAAAAAGCTGTCTGCATTAAACAATCCTAGTCTCCTTGATGGAAAAGCGAAATGCAGTTACTCAGGGGATAAACATGCTGGCTTAACGTTCTAGCCACTGAACTCAGGAACCTGGCATGGGGCTGCACGAAAGCTTGTGCAAAGAGAAATGGATTCCTTTCACTTGAATGGCTTTGAAAGGCTTAAGAAAGAAGGCACTTCAGCACTCTCTCTATACTCAAGAATAAAACATTAAACTGATTTTGCCTGTCTCATGCGTGCAAGAGGAAAGAGGTTTTGTTCTTTCTTTTCCACACAGTGAGTTTTTGCAACAAAGTGAAAGGAGACTAGGAGGGAGGCCTGGCAGAAGGGGAAGACGCATGTGAATGCATTCCGGACTACAGCGAAAATTATGTTCAAAGCTCCCTCTTATGAAAAGCAGCTTATCACAGGAAGGCAAAAGGGGCTGATGCATTGATAGAATGCCATAACAGGCTTGCAAAAAGCATTTACAGGCACCTCTTTTGTTCCAGTTGGATCAGAATAAAGCAGCAAGAACATGGATTTTATTAAAAAGACTTAGCACTGACTAATGAAAGCTCATTATTTGTAAAGAAACAGCTACAGGAGTCATGCACATTAATTAAGACTAAGTGCACTTTTGTGAACTAGCCTTAGTTTCGTATCTCATCAGATAGATAAGGTTACAACTTATGGCTGCTGTTTGCACAATGCTGTTTAAGAGGGTTTACAGAAATGAGGCCATAATTACTCCTGGTCATTAAAGATCCCATAGAACTCTCCACAAGCACACAATACAGGGCATTTGTCCCTGGGACGGGGCAATTCCCAATCAACATGAGTGACTATATTCCGTCTAAATGCCTGTTGATTTAATTCTCTCTCTATTTCCTGAGCCTACAGAATTGTAGAATTGTGTAGAATTGTTGGAGTCATTACACTGGCCCCAGAAGAGGATGAATTTCAGTAGTAAAAGAAGTGATCCCTAGGTATGTGTATATACAGTTACTGGTAGTTCTGCTGCTTGTGGATGACACTGTTAGAAATCAAACAATAATTGAGTAATACAATTTAGAGGGTTCAATCCTGTCTTCTGAGGGGCAGGTGCCCAGAATTATGTATCTGGTACAAACACCTACTTTGCTGGTGAGCATGCGCAGGAGCTTGCATTATAACTATATACTGTCATTAAGAGGCAGGATAAGGAAACCAATGTAGTTTTAAAATGCTTAGACATATTGTTACTTACCTGGGAGAGACCCTGACAGAGAGCTTGGGTGAGGCACATAACCAAGTGGTACGGAGGCTGGTCCATGCACCACATAGTCATTAGTCATTGTTTCCCCATCTCCCTTCATGCGTGGGCACAGCACCCTCTGGCAGATAAAGTACATTGCTCCAACCACAAAAACAGTGAGGATCACTCCAATGATTGAGCCTATGGTATTGTTGGCTTGTGGTGCTGGCTCCTCTGTTGTGTCTAAATGAGGAGAGGGAAATCAGATTCTGTAACTTTCATTGTTAGGTCCAACAACTTCAGACGTGCTAAGATTAGCATTCATGCCAATCTCCCCAAAAGAAAAACTGGAAGCCTATGCTACTGAGCTTCCAAGCCACTTACAATAGCCTTCTAATTAAAGATGCAGCGTGAACAAACGCCCACTTGGCACTAGGATGACATTTTTATCTGCAATTAAAAGACAGCTACTTTTCACATTTGACCTAAGTAGCATATGAACCTAGGGCAAAAGCCAGTGTTCTAATTAATACCATTAACTCCACCTCCTCTGCTGTCTAGGGGTTTATTATTCATGGCCCAGCATTCACTGATGCTAAATAGGAGAACCATGGAAGCAATGATCAACTGTGTCTGGTGGCATTTCCAAAGACACCTAACCTGCCTCATGTGCACTTCCAACTGATGGTAAGAGCTACACCTGATCATCTGTCCTAGAAGTATCATCTCTGCAAGGCAGTGCCACCCTGAATTGTTATTACAAGCCCATCAGCAGTCAGACATGGGTGCCATTCCTGAAGGCACTGAACTGTAAGCAGTGATATTTCTCAGAACAATGGACAACAACCTGACTATGCCTTGAGAATCTGGGAAGACGAGCAGGTATCAAAGCATTTACCTATTCTATTCAGTGTCTTATATCACTCATATCTCCATGGTATCTAAGTGGCTACTCTTCAATCCACATATCCTTGTTCCCTGAAGTCTGGACCAACCCTTTAGCCAATCTCTTTGGCTCCCATATCTAATGAATCTACAGAGATGAGAAAATAAGACCCTGTCCATATTGGAAGCAGAACAGAACTAGCTACAACCTTATCCCAGTGCATACATTGACCTAACTTCCCTCCTCCCTCATTACAAACAATAGAGAAGATAGGAAATGGGCTCAGGTCAGTGTTATGTGCACATTTGTGATAGTGCTGTCTGGCCCATAGGGAGGATAAGGCACCTACTATTACTGCCAACAAAGGGAGATCTCACTTATCTCTGAAGTAGATTCAGGAGCTAAAGAATTAGGGGTCAATTCTGGGTTTACATGTGTGTGTTTTTATTCATTAACTGTGTCTGTTATGTGCAGTACATCAATTGGTTATAATAGGTGAGGAGATTTCCGATTTAAAATTTCTAATAACGTAACAATGCCAGTGAACTTTAAGGCTGAAATCTACTCTGTTTGGCCTGTAGCTTTTTTTCTAGGGACCTGGAGCCTTTCAAGGCAGGCAGGCCCAAAGGATATTATATTCCATAAACCATAATCTGCAACTATAAACCAAGCAGAGAATTACATAGGCTTTAGGCACAAAGGAAACTTTTTAGCATATTTCTATGTGCAGAGATAGGAGCACTCTTAAGTTTCTTAAAGTACCTCTTGTGAATTCTATGGCTGAAGCAGAGCAGAATGGTTACGACAGCCTCAGGCCATTTTGAAGAGATTCTTATAGTACAGAAGAATGCTTCCATCCACGTATACAAACATTATTAAGCAAGATTTCAAAATTTTTTTTTAAATGTTTAAAATATAAGGGGCAGAATTTAACTGTTTTGAATCTGAGACACTTTTCAGAATAATAGATTTTTCACTCCAAAAAGAGCTACATGTCAATTAGCTTCCCATGATCCCCATGCATTAATTATTGGCAACAGGTGAGGCAGGAACACCCACCTTAAAATTAATGCATGTGGTTTTAATACTGAGAGCGAATCCTAACTCACTGAGGAGTGAAACAACCATCTTCACTTGCTGCAACCATGTCTCTGATCTCAGATTTTACACTTACAGCATCCTTGCTCATCTGAGCTGTCACTGCAGTCCAAGTTGTGATCACATTTCTTGTTTTTCCCAATGCACTGGCCACTGGCGCAGCGGAATTGATCGGTTAAACACAGCACTGGAGGTGAGAAAAATGTCCAGAAATGTTCAATGTCAGATATTCATGAAAACAAAGACAGGTGTTCAGGTTCTGTAGGAGGGTAATACAGTGATAACCTGAGAATGTTATTTCCTATTTGCAGGGTACTAAATATGGTATCCTGGGCTGAATGAACTCCGAGGTAGAAGGCCATGGTGTTTATAGGAAATAAACCCAGAATACAATTAACAGGAAGCACACAAGTTATAATTACTATTAACTTTAGCCATTAAATATTTGAATTTTGAATGAGAGAAAAGAATTAAGTTACAAAAACTTATCAAGCTGCTAAAAGATAGTTACTTCTTTTCAAAGAGGTCACAAATTCCTTCCAACACTCTCAACAGACCCTTACTCTTCCTAACATATCTTTCTACTGTGTATGGTCATTGTATGCAATATGCATCCGAAGAAGTGGGTTGTAGCCCACGAAAGCTTATGCTCTAATAAATTTGTTAGTCTCTAAGGTGCCACAAGTACTCCTGTTCTTCTTGTGGTCATTGTATGGTTATCTAGAAAACTAAACGGAACAGTAATTATCCAAATACCTGCACTCTGGGTAATAATGGCTGTCAACTGATAAGAGTACATTTCATATACGGTATGGTTGTGAAAACACTGTACAGTGATTATGTAAATAACAATCAATAAGAGTGCAAGGAATTGTAGGACTAGGGTGACAGAATGACAATATCTTGGCATATCCCGAACAAACCTGATAGAATTAAGATAAACTTAATTCAATAAAGTTAAACCTTATTGAATTAGAGTTAATTCCTTTGGGGTACATTGTATTAAAAATGCAATGATGTATGTGCTATTGTAGAACTGAATGCATCTTCTCTAGTAGGGAGGGGGGATGCGAGCGAACGTCCTCTGTTATCAGCTTTGAAAGCCGTTGGGCCAGATATGCATACACTAGTTCATATTGGACTCTCAGGACCAACAGACAAAGAAAAGACTTTTGGATTTAAAAAAAACAAAAACAAACAAACAAACAAAAAAAAACGGCTGACTCCGGGGCCTTCTTCCTGATCCAGCAAATGGACAGGACTCCTGGTTCACGGAGGGCCCCAATCCTCAAGGGAGGATTGGCAGGCCTTGGCCTACTGAGGCCTCATAAACCTGTGTGGTTGGTTCTGAAATGAAGCTCTGATGAACTTGTAACCACAAGGAAACCCCTAGGGTGGGGTGATGCCTGGTAAGCTTATTAGCCGGTATGCAGGCTCTTTTATTGTTTTTAATAGGATTTCTCTGTAACGCTTTTTACCTTAAGAATAAAGTAGGCTCGCTTAGATACAGCTATGTGATAACTTAAATCTGTAGCAATCACTCCGCTATCTGTCTCTGAAGAGGAAGCAAGCAGATTGTCCTTGCTGGAAATGATATAGCAAAGGCAGGGAACTGTGCAGCCTGAAAACACGCCAGGCAGAATGGAGTAAGACGTGGGTCTCTGCCCAGAAAGGCGACATCTAGGGAGCTGGAAGTTAAGAGTTGGGTGCCCTTGCTGAACCACTGAGGGGAAATACAGGTACAGCTGCCCTGAATAGTAACATATCGGAAATAATATTCTTATTTTCATTAATAACCGGTGAGCTTTCTTTCTCACACTAATCAGACAGGACAACGCCATATCAGTATGACTTTTTTAAACCACCTGAAACTTTGCAGCCAGAAGTTTCTCATCCTAGAAACAAGTTATCAACAGAATCAGAATTTAATGATGTGAAAGACTGAATCGCTTGGCAGTACTGGTAGTGGATATGGAGACTTTCATTCCAAATCAGTCAGCTTGTTGAAATCTGGCCTAGGTCATTAGTTTCCTAAATCATTCCCAGCTGAAGGCTGGCTTGGGGCCTGTATTCTCAGCCCTCGTCATAACAACTGACTTTAAAAGCAGTTCCTTTAGATTCAGAAGTTTTTAAGGCCTCAGAAGAGGAAACTGATTGAATGGATGTGGAAAAATGGCTATCCCCTCATGCTCAGAAGTAGCCCCTCCAGGCCAAGGCTGAGACATACTGGCAGGGCAGTCAGATGGAGGAGGACAGCTTGCTGGTGTTACACTTGTTTTACTGACACAGGACTTCACACTCCACGCAACTGCCAACCAACATGAAAATTCATTTAATTTAGAGAAAAAACCTCTAAGACTACAAAAATTGGAGGCAGTTCACATTTGGCACGCTAGTATCACTTCTCCCCATAACCATCTCTGCATGCTGCCTTTTGTTGGAGTTTGCAGGTGGAGGACATCTCCAAAACTCTCTCATCCGTCTGCATTCTCACTCATCCACACCCACACCCACTTTAAATTCCATTGTAGTCAGATATATAATAAATGAATATGAATCTAATTTTCCCACAGTTTCCATTAGTCAGTAAGAGGTATTCGAACAGCTATCTCAGCATACAATTAAACCAAAACTAAGACCAATGCTTTGAGATTTTTAGAGCTTGAAATAAAATAATATCTCATTCTTAAATAGCATCACTAGATCTCAAAGTGCTTTACAAAGGAGGTCAGTTTCATTATCCCCATTTTACAGTTGGGGAAACTGAGACAGAGGTGGAATGACTTGCCCAAGCTCACACAGCAAACAAGTGGCAGAGCTGGGAATCATATCAAGACCCTCTGGCTCCTAATCTAGTGCTCTATCAACCAGGAGCCAGGTATTTAGGTGCCTAATTCCCAAGCATCCACTATACCTTCACAGTTCTTCTCATCTGAGTTGTCCTGGCAATTCGCCTCTCCATTGCACCGGAGGGTGCTGTCTATGCACTGTCCGCTTTCACACTGGAACTGGGAGTCTGAACAGACAGGGCAGTTCTTTTCATCACTATGGTCTTCGCATTCAGTGAATCCATCACAGCGCCAGGCCACTGGGATGCAGTCAATCTCCCCTGTGAAACAGGTGAACTGCTGAGGGGAGCATGTTGGGGGTTCTTTAAAAAAAGAAAGCAAAAACAAACCCAAAGGAACACGTCATTAATCCATGTTTACAAGCAGCACATCTTAAAGGAGAGAGGTAGGAGAACCCAACTATTTGACAAACATACCCCAGGCAAGGTATTTCCCACCCCCCTCAGTGATTTGAACAGCTCTGAGCTTCATATGCCAGAGTGCAGGCTCATGTAACTGGAGTACAATCTGGAACGAAGAGAGGATGAAGAAACATATGCATGCAAAATTCAAAGGACAATACTCCACCCTCTCCAACAGCACAGTATACCCTTCCCTTGTACTTCATTAAGTCTTCAAAGATTTTCACTTGAAGTCAACACACGAAGAGTGTTTCTCTTCCTCTTTTCCCCCTTTCCCGCAATCTGACTGTGTACACAAAAAATGGCTCGCTTTCTTTTTAATGTTCAACAATAATTGTATAGAAAACATTAAAAGGATATAATGTGCTGCAGATGGACGTGCTGTGACTCAATGTCTAGTTATGTGCCCTCTCTAACTGTGTTCAGTCAAACTTGTTTTAAAAAGACAAAAAAATTGCTCCATTATGTCAACTCCTGCTATCTCCCCACAGCTGTTAGCAGTTATTTAACATTTACTACGGTAACTGTTAATCTTATGTAGTAAGCGTGCTTTTTTTTTTTTTTTTTAAACTAAGAGGCCCGTTTTTGGCCTAACATTAAGTTTGCACTCAGAAAATATCTGGATTATGTTAGTTCTTTTTCCACTGTGTGACCACATGTCGCCTTGCTGGCTACAGAATTGCGCAACAAATCCACTCAAAATGTCAACAGAAAGAGAATGAAGCTCCTGAGCTCTCCTCTCCCTCCTTGAACCAGCAGGGCCTGGTCAGAGAGGCAGCATCTTGCATTGCTCTATAACGACTCCCCGGCAGCTGCAGTTTGGAATGGTGTGCGTGGGATGATTTTGAAGACGGAAATGAAAAGGAAGAAGGAAGGATAGATGGTATACAAAAGCAGAAGATCCCAGAATCAGAAAAATCTACAACAATTTGGGGAAGCAATTTGCTATTTTAAAAATTCAGTGCAAGAACTGTTGATCCTCCGCCTCTTGCTTTCAATCTGTGTGTGTGTGAATTTAGCAGAGGCAAGAAGTTGACAACTCAACACCCCAGAGACTGAAGTCCTCTGTTTAGCCACAGATCAGGTACAACAAAGGCAAGAGAAGTTCCAGTTCCCTTCACGTATTCTGCCTATATTCTCATCTAGAAGAGCCACCTCCAAGCCCTATGGGTTAATCAGTCCTTGGCCTCTGTTGAGAATACCGCCAAGGATGCTAATTACTCACCTCTGGGGTGGTGCCAAGGAGTAGACTGAAAAACTCATTTGTACTTACTATTTATATTTATTGCAAAATTATGAGCCCCTAAATTGAACCTGCCTGAGGTAGTTCCAACAATTTTTTCTATCAAATGTTTTTCAGGGCTTTTGGAGTCTTACTGTACCCAACATGACTTTTATTTGTTACAAGCCACTTAGGCAAGGTTCACAAAAACGGTGCTCTGTGCTCCCTCTGCTGGCTCTTTAGCAGCAGCTAACTTAAAAATACCTTTCAGAGTAGCAGCCGTGTTAGTCTGTATCCGCAAGAAGAACAGGAGTACTTGTGGCACCTTAGAGACTAACAAATTTATTAGAGCATAAGCTTTCGTGGGCTACAACCCACTTCTTCGGATGCATATGCATATGCATATGCATCCGAAGAAGTGGGTTGTAGCCCACGAAAGCTTATGCTCTAATAAATTTGTTAGTCTCTAAGGTGCCACAAGTACTCCTGTTCTTCTTAAAAATACCTCTCACCAAGAGCTATGTGTTTAGCATTGGTGGTCCTGGGGAAGCCACACAAAAGCGTTGTGGTGTGCTTTAAAATAGTAGAGAACATAGCATTGGTTAAACAAAACCAGCCCCATTAATTTCAGCTGTTTTCAAAGCCACCTGTGTGTCAAATAGAAAATGTCACACCAACAAAGGCAGGGAGGGGGGAACCGCTCAGCTTTCTCAGATGGTATTACAGACCATTGAATAAAAATAACCTGAAATAACTCAGTGTCCTTTTAGTTACTATGGGCAAATCGACATCTGTATATTGAAAAGCCTTCTCGCCTCAGAGTTAATTAACAACACTCACTGGGACAGGTTCAGTTGTGGTGCTATGTGAAGACACCAAAATGGTATCCAGATACTCGGTGTGGAAAAGCATTGTTCAAGACATCTTATGCAGCAAAACTTGTCCTCTCATGGCACTGGCTTTTCCCCCTCCAGAACTGCTCCCAGATTGAAGCATGTAGCTAACATGAAGGCCATCCTACCACGTTAGGGGCTCAACTAAGGAAATGCAGACAACTGGAAGGACTTACCTCCACAGGATAGTTCATCCTGAAGCAGAACAAGGTGCACCGGACAAGAACACCGGGTTGTACCATCACCCTTCACAATACAAATGTGCGAACACCCGCCATTGTCTTGAGAACAAGGATGCTGTCCTGCAATTTATAAACAAGATCTTTATGCAATATAACCCCAAACCCACATGTCTGGTTGCGATTATTTAGAGAGAAGAAATTAATTGGTAAAGCTTGGGGAAAAAATAATCCAGATTTACTTATTCAGGCCCTGATCCCATAATGAGCTCAGATGGGGTAAATCCTGTGCACTTCTGCAGAACCCACTTGCTTCGGTGGGGCTCTGCACGGACACAGGAGGTTCACCTGCATGGAGCTCATTATGACAATGGCCTGCCTCCCTTTCTCCCTTCCCGAATGGAAAACCTTCTGGACAAGCAGCTCCAGAGTGTATCTATAATTATTTGTGATCTGAAGCATCATAAAAAAAAAATCACGCAGTGCAACCTTTTAAAAACAGTAAACAAAACCTAAAGGTTGTTTCTTGGGAAAGATGGAATTAGTTCTGGAGGACTACAACAAAGGTACCTCGAATTTAATACTGCACTCTCTCTCTCTAAGCCATTTAAAAAAAAAAAAAAAAAAGAAGCAAACTTTTCTGATTTACAAAGTCTGAAGTATTTGCACTGCCTCCAAAACTCAAATGAATATGCTCTAGATAAATATGTCTTTTCATTTTAATGTTTAATAAGGATGCCCTGTTTCTTCTTGAAATTCTTGACAGATTTACTGTGATTAATGGCAAACAAAGCTAGTAGTCGTCTGCTTTAATTAATATCCCCAGACAGTTTCCTAAAAAAATTCTCCAGTTCAAAGCACACATCATACTTATGTTAACGTGATTGCTTCCTCTATGATGGCTGTGGCTCCACTTGGCTGCACCCATCTCCAGCCAACCCCCCATTCATTTCAAGTTAGGAAAAGTTTGTGCCCTTGAAAAAAAATGTTTAAAAACTATTTGAGCATATTTACTCCTGGTGAAAGGGGCTGAAGTCCTCTAAACAGACAAAGCATGTGGCAAGCTAAGCTTCACTACTCCACCCCATGAATGGGCCACAGCCCTGATCCAAAGGAACCTCCACCAGGACCAAGATGGTATTTTAGTCTCTATATCCATTCAATCCTTGGTGTCTGTCATAGGACTACCTATAAGGTTGCCCATTAAGGTATGTCTACACTGGAGCTGGAAGGTATAATTTCTAGCTCACGGAGACCTGCACTATTTCCTTCTGATCAAGCTAGCAGGCTAAAAATCAAAGCGCACTTGCAGTAGTGCAAGCGGGGGCAGGGACTAGCCGCCCCAAGAATGTACCTAGGCTCTTCGATAGGATCATAACTCAGGGCAGCTAGCCCCTCCAGCCGCTCGCACCACCATGGCTTCCCTTCTCTTTAGTGTGCCAGCTCAATCAGAGCTAACGTGCATATGTCTCCTCAAGCTGGGAATCACACCTTCCAGCTCTAGTGTAGACACACCTTGAGTGACAAACCATGACAGTGGTTTTTGTGATGGTCTCCTATCCACTAGGAGTTGTACTAAGAAAACTCCACACAGGCCCCTTATCAGCCTTTTGGCCACTACTGATCTGGGGTGGATTTAAATCAGTGACATAGGAAGAAATGTCTCCCTATGCCATTAATAATCCTCTGTTGCGCCACTTCCCACACCTAACCCCACACTCCCTATTGTTTCTTGGTAATGGGGATGGTACTTACTGTATTCCTGGATGTTTAGCTCTTTAACTGCATGTATGTCGCTGAGCTGTGCAATACGAGCCTGGACTTTCGTACGTCCTTCTCGACCAGTCATGTCAATTTTTTCAATCATTTGCTGTTGCTTGTCAATCCAGTACAGCCAGTTTTCAAATACTGTGAGCCCAACGGGTTGCAAGATATTGGAATCTTCTAAAACTATTCGATTCGCCCCTTTGGAAAGGAGGTTGTGGTTTAACAATTGGAAGAGACCGAGATATCATCATGAACATATTTTACATAGATATAAATATGTATATTTTACACACACTCACAGTCCAATGTCCTCAGTAGCTGTCTGGATTTAAATTCTGCAGCCAGATACCCAATATACACAGCACACCTGTGCAGGGAGTGAAAGCTCCAAGGTAGCTTCAGGGTAACCCAAAAAAATTGAAGGTGTTTTTAATTTTATATTATAGCGAGTAGTACAGTGACCATAGTACCACATGTGTTACTGATTCAACTTTTTCATTTTGTACTGCAAATTGTACTGTACTGATGAGGTATAACTGCATTCTAGAAGTAGTTAGATGTTCCAGCTGCTGGAAGGGTAGAGAAAAAGTGGGTATAAGGCATAAGAACGGCCAAACGGGGCCAGACCAATAGTTAATCTAGCCCAGTATCCTGTTTTCCGACAACGCCAGCGGCTTCAGAGGGAATGAACAGAACCGATAATCACTGAGGGATCCATCCCATCGTCTCTTCCCAGCTTCTGGCAATCAGAGGCTAGGGACACCCGGAGCATGGGATCGCATCCCTTACCATCTTAGCTAATAGCCATTGATGGATCTGTCCCCGTTAACTTATCTAATTTTTTTTTAACCCCATTATAGCTTTGGCCTTCACAACATCCCCTGGCAATGAGTTCCACAGGTAGACTGCATTCCATGCTTAATTTGTACCAGGGCTTGCCTGGGCTGAGCCCCAGCATCTCTAGGCTCTTCTGTGTATCTTTTCCAATTCTAATATATATTTTTTGAAATGGGGTGACTAGAACTGCACACAGTATTCAAAATGTGAGCATACCACGGATTTATATAGAGGCAATATGATATTTTATGTCTTATTATCTCTCTCTTTCCTAATGGTTCCTAACGTTCTGTTAGCTTTCTTGACTGCTGCTGCACATTAAATGGATGTTTTCAGAGGAATATCCACAAGGACTCCAAGATCGCTTTCTTGAGTCTTAACAACTAATTTAGACCCCATCACAGTTGAGATTAGGTTTTCCAATGTGCATTTCTTAGCACTTATCAACACTGAACTTCATCTGCCATTTTGTTGCCCAGTGACCCAGTTTTGTAAGATCCCTTTGTAAGTCTTTGCAATCTGCTTTGGATTTCACTATCTTCAGTAATTTTGTATCACTTGCTAATTTTGCCACCTGACTGTTTACCCATTTTTCAAGACCCTTTATGAATATGTTGAACAGCACTGGTTCCAGTACAGATTCCCAAGGAACACTGCTATTTACCTCTCTCCATTCTGAAAACTGATAATTTATTCCTACCCTTTGTTTCCTGTCTTTTAACCAGTTACTGATCCAGGAGAGGACCTTCCCTATTATCCTATGACTGCTTAGGCTGCTTAAGAGCCTTTGGTGAGGGATCTCGTCAAATGCTGGTACACCATATCCACTGGATCACCCTTGTTTTTTGATCCCCTCAAAGAATTCTAATAGATTGGTGAGGCATGATTTCCCTTTTACAAAAGCCATGTTGACTCTTCCCCCAACAAATCGTGTTCATTTAAGTGTCTAATAATTCTGTTCTTTATTACAGTTTCAACCAATTTACCTGGTACTGAAGTTAGGCTTACTGGCCGGTAATTGCCAGGATCGCCTCTGGAGCCTTATTTTAAATTTGGTGTCACATTAGCTATCTGCCAGTTATCTGGTACAGAAGCTGATTTAAATGATAAGTTACACACCAGAGTTAGTAGTTCTGCAATTTCATATCCGAGTCCCTTCAGAACTCTTGGGTGAATGCCATCTGGTCCTGGTGAATTATTACTGTTAAATTTATCAATTTGTTCCAAAACCTCCTCTACTGACACCTCAATCTGGGACAGTTCCTCAGTTTTGTCATCTAATAAGAATGGCTCAGGTGTAGGAATCTCCCTGCATCAGTCTTCACGGCAGAGGATGTGAAAGAATTCAATTAGCTTTTCCGCAATAGCCGTACTTTCCTGGAACACCCCTTAAGCACCTCAATTGTCCAGTGGCCCCACTGATTGTTTGGCAGGTTTCCTGCATCTGATGTACTTAACATTTTTTTGCTGTTAGTTTTTGAGTCTTTGGGTAGCTGGCCTTCAAATTCTTTTTTGGCCTGCCTAATTATATTTTTATATTTGCCATGCCAGAATTTATGCTCATTTCTATTTTCCTCAGTAGGATTTAACTTGCAATTTTAAAGGATGCATTTTTGCCTCTAACCACTACTTTTACTTTGTTGTTTAGCCATGGTAACGCATTTTTGATTTGCTTACTATGTTTTTTAATTTTAAACTATGTTTAATTTAATTTGAGTCTATTATGGTGTTTTTAAAAAGTTTCCATGCAGCTTGCAAGCATTTCACTTTTGTGACTATACCTTTTAATTTCCGTTTAACTAGAGTCCTCATTTTTGTGTAGTTCCCCTTTCTGAAGTTAAATGCTACTGTGGTGGGCTTCTTTGGTGTTTTCTCTCCCACAAGGATGTTAAATTTAATTACATTATGGTCGTTATTACCAAGTGGTTCAGCTATAAGGCAGTTTGGGGTTTTGGCTCTCATGAGGTGATTAAGACTTTTGGCAAAGAGGAGCGGAAGTACTTCCCCCCCACCCCCACCCCCATCCCTTGTGGAAAGATCAACAGCAATTTTAAGTTTTGTGCATGGGCTTGAACTCTTTGGACTTGTCTTCATCAGGGGGAAAAAGGGGGTGGTATTGATTTGTGTTCACTAATATGATGTAAAATCCTAGTGAAGACAAGGCACTTTGTAGTTTTCACACTGGTTAGTAGGAAAATGTAAACCCTCAACTCCCCCATAGTCTTTAACTCAACCTGAAAACTCGTGTGAAAACTATAAACTGGGTTTTTATTTTGTGTTAGTTAATTTGAGTTAGGAATATACCTTTTTTCCCAGTGAAGACTCCCTCTCAGTTCTCTATATTAGCAACCCTCTGCAGCGACCAGAAGAAGCACATTAGCTGAATGTTTAAGCTACAGTGATAGGCACTTAATTATTTAACAGCACTGACTTTTACATGGTCATTATTAGATTTCAGAGTTAAAATTCCATTCAGATGAAAGGGAGCACAGTTCAGACTTGTCTCATACTTGCTGAAGATGGCCTGCAAACTTAGTCTGCACCACTTTACATTGACTTTTTACATTTATTTTCTTCACAACTCTTGGGCTAGAAACGTATATTTTAAAACACCGCCGCCCCCCGCCCCGAAAGCTTAGATTACACTACACAATTACGCTGTGAATTCAGTGACCTGTAAACAGATTCAATTAATTTATTATGCCCTGCACTTATTACTACTTTTACTCACACACACTCATCACAGGAACTAAAAGTATAGAGAACCCACAGCTGGAATGTTTGGATCCAAATCCAAACACTGCCAAACCTTCTGGGGTGTTCAGGTCATTTCTATCTGAAGCTTAAAAAAAACCAAAACAACAGTACAGCAGGCAATAGCTTGTGAACATGTTCAACAACACTATGCTTTCCCAAAAAAGTAACTGACTTTAAAAAAAAAAAAAGACACTAGGACAGTGAACCACCACACATAAAAGGCTACCATTTTTTTTCAAGGAATGAGTGGCCAAGATTTGCTTTTGGGATCAAAAAGTTATTATTATAATGCCTGAACATTTTATTATTTCATAATCTCAATAATTTTTCTATCCTTCAGTCTGTTTATTAATATAAATAACTATGTTTTGCATTTTTATAGTATTTCATTAGATGCTCTCATGGTGCTTTGCAAGAAGTTAAACTAATTATCATCTCCATTTTAAGATGGGTAAAGTGAGACACAGATAGGTGAAGTAGCTTGCCTGGTGTCTCAGGGATTAGCTGCTAGATTCTGGCCTGGTCTACACTTAAAACCTAGAGCGTGACTTTCCTACAGCCCACAGTAGTGTGAAAAATCCACATCCATGATGCCGCAACTATGCTGACCCTGAACCCCCAGCACAGACACAGCTAGGTCAATGGAAGAATGATTCCATCAACCTAGCCACCGTTGCTCAGGGAGTAGGAGTTCCTATAGCAACAGATAGACTACAGCGAAAGATGGGGGGTTATGTCTATACTGGGGGGTTATGCTGGCATAGCTATGGTGCCATAGCTATACTGTACAGTGCCTGTAGTGTAGACTTGGCTCTGACACAGCACCTCGGAATCCTCCCCCCGTGGCTTTAAACTATAGACAGCACTTTCACTCCATGATCTGGAGCTACACCAGTGATGAATTTGGCCCTAGGAAAGATGTTGATGGATTATGTAGAGGGACGTATCCAGCTTGATGCAGGAATTACTAGGTGAGGTTCTATGGCGTGTGTAATGCACGAGGTCAGCTAGATGACCATAATGGTCCCTTCTGGCCTTAAAATCTATGAGTATAAGTCATCTGTTGCGGGAACACTAGCTGTGAGATGACAAGAAGGGGGTGGAGATGCGCAGAAAGAGGACTTGAGAAAGGGAAGTGTGACTGTTGAAGTCGACCTTTACAAAAATAAATGTTTCACTTTTTTGGACAGAGTTCTTCTATGATCCAGTGAGGAGGTGGGGGATCGACGTGACATTTCTCAACATATTGCAAAAACTTTTAGTTTAAAAATCTCAGTCTCTTAAAGTACCTCAGTTTTTCACCCATATTTATGACTGAGTTTAATTTACTATTTGTGACTAAACCAAGACCGTGATATTTATCCTTCACATAAACAAGAAACCCTAAAGTGGGGACCACAAAGTTCACAAAGCATCCACTAGTCCCACCAGGAATGTCATAAAGAAAGTTCCTAAAGGTTTAGAAATCCATGTTTGCTCAAGAATGAAACATGACTAACAAGACTTTTCTTCTGCCATTACTTCCCTTCTACACAGGGGGAAACTGACTGGAATAGCCGTTCCAGACTAGCTGCCTGTGTGGGAACACAATTCCAGAATAAAAGTCAATGTATTCCAGAATAATTAATGTGTGTCCAAAATAAACTAATTATTCTGGAATATACTGACCTTTTATTCCAAACTAGTGTCCACATGATGAGCTATTCCAGTCCATTTCCCTGTGTAGACGAGCCTTCACTCATGTGAGAAGTCCAATCGACTTCAATGGGATTTCTATTATTAGGAAAACATAACTGGGCCCCAGGTATCTGTTGGGAGCACTGTCCTCTCTCCTATCCTATCTCATATGAAGCATGCTGTCTCTCTTTGTAAGAGTAGCAGCATCTGCAGACCCAGGAAGCAAGAGAGTTTTTAAGAACACACATGCAGAAAAATTATGCTCTCAGTTAAAAAAAAAAAGCCTATTAATCATTGCTAGCATTCTTTAACTAGCAATCTGTCTCAGCAGTTAGGATTTACACTGATAATTGCTGTAACTTATCTTGCAGTGCAAATGTCTAAAGAGGAGTGTTTTGGAAAGAAATTTCTCCATGTTTATGGAAGGAATGGTGAGGTTTTAATAAACAATACATAAAATCTGACAGCTTTTTTTTAAAAAAAAGTAAGATAATTTAAAAACAAAAGAGTGGGTTTATAATTAACACCAGCCTTTGACTTTGGTGTTCTAAAAATTGTCATAACAGATGCAAAAGGAGAAACAAGGAATGAGTAAGTTTCAGATGTCAGTTAAATCATGCTGAATCTGTGGTGGTCAAGGTCATCCAAGGATACATCATACCAAAATTTCAATGTTTTAATGCATTAAGTGTGGTCTACTGGTTATAACACCTGATTAAGAGTCAGAGTTCTTTTTCTGGATCTTCCACTAACTGTGTGTCATTGGGCAAATTGCTTACACTTGCAGTGTCTCAGAGCATGGCTACACTTGTGAGGTAGAGCGCATTAAAGCAGCCCCAGGCGCCCTAACTCACAACCCATCCACACTGGCAAGGCACTTAGAGCGCCTGGACGCTGCAGCTGGAGCGCACCTGGTAATCCACCTCCAAGAAAAGCATAACGCTTGGTGCGCCTCGGCTGAAACCCCACAGCATCAGTGTGACCGAGGTGTTGCATTACTGCGCTCTGATTGGCCTCCAGAAACGTCCCATAATCCCCTTAAGTCAAGTGGCCACTCTTGTCATTGTTTTGGAATTGGCTGCAGGAATGCGGATATGCCCTTTCAAAACTCCATTTTTGACAGCCGGCATGCTTATCTGCTCCGGAACAAAGCAACGATTAGTGTGGAATGCTGCTTGCTGTGAGTGTGAGAGAGCGAGGCAAGAGGGAGGGGGGTCTGCTGCTGTCTGAACTTACAAGACAGCATGCTGACACGCTCTCAGCCCCCCAAAAACCCACTCTCTCTCCCCCCACATACACACAACACACTCCCTGTCACGCTCCACCCCCTCCGCATTTGAAAAGCACCTTGCAGCCACTTTCATGCTGGGATAGCTACCACAATGCACTGCTCTCTGTGGCGTTGCAAGAGCTGCTAATGTGGCCATGCCAGTGCGCATGAATCTGACTGTGTGGACACACTGCAACGCTTTCCCTACTGCACTCTCCAAGGGCTGGTTTAACTCACAGCGCTCTACATCTGCAAGTGTAGCCATGCCCTCAGACCCAATCATCTGTAAAACTGAAATAATACCACTTGTCCTATTATACAGACAAATATGTATAATATATGAAACAAATAGAAAACTGAAAGCACATTGGTGTCGTTGGATGGAATGCACTACAGAATTCTAAAGCATTATTATATCATGAATGAGCATATATCAGTGCAATATTTTACTACCAAATTCATTTATTTTCCATCACCAATCTCTACTCTTACTCTCATATCTCATATACGCATGCAGATGGGGGAACGGACATGCATCTGAAGTACAGGGACATAGACATTTCAGGTATTACATAGTTTATGTTGCCATAGGCACAGAAATGGCCAGTGCATGCTGACTTAACACTATAGCACAGATTTTTCACCAACTGGGCACTTCCTGATTTGCTTGACAGATACTAGTACTCCAAAAAAGTGATGTTCGTGAAAAATAGCAGTGATTATTTGTGAACTGGCTTTGAGGGAGAAGCTAACCAAGGTCTTGAAGCTAGAAACTGAAGTGAACAGCACTAATATTGAGCAACTAATAGTGCAAATGAATGTCTAAACGTAAATTCTACTTTACCTGAAAGGTCACTGCTCTCAATTCTCCGGAGCTCTGAATCAGCCCAGAATAACTTGCTCAGCTGGCTGTCAAGGGCCAGGGCTATAGGTTTACTCAAGCCACTGAAAAAGAGAATCTCCCGTTCAGTTCCATCCAGTGCTGCCCTCTCGATTTTGGGTGACCTTTCTTGCAGATTAGTGAAATACATGTACCTGTAACAGGAATAGTTAGACTCAAACAGATTTGTAAATTATGCAGGTTTTTATTAACTTTTTTTCTCTAACAATGTCTCAGAGAGACAAACATCCCTCCTCACTACTGTGCAAAGGGGGAGGGAGGAAGGCAGCTATTTAAGACAATGACTGATTTGGGGAAAAACAAATATTTTCAATGTTGGGCTAAACTGTCCCTTCCCCTTTGCAGGTGCTCTGCAGGGGTAGGAGGAAGGGGAAACAGGCTACCTGGCCCTAGTACACATGCAGGAAACAGGCTTGCTCTATCTCTCAGCGCTTGGGTGTGCAAGGGAGGAGGCCAGCTAGCACTGCCTGTGGAACTGGCCATCTGTACAGGAGGTGTTTCTAGGCAGGATGGGGCCATGTCTCTTGCCCTACATTTCACCAGGATGAGTGAGAGTGTGTGTGTGTGAGAGAGAGTGAGAGTGAAGAGGGCAGGGACGTAACCAGAATTCTCCTACGGCTGGGGCCCAGAGCTCCCTGCACCCAGCCCCACACGCTCTCCCTGCTGCTCCCCGATACCCAGTCCTGCACCCAGCTCCACACATACTCCCCTCCAGCTTCCCCACACTCAGCTGTGAGCTTTCCCCACTGCACCCAGCCCCATGCTCTCCCTGCCTTACACCCAGCCCTGAGCTCTCATCCAGAGAGGCCGTCAGGCTGAAAAGCATCATCCCCACCAGGAGCCAGGTGGTTTTGGGAGCTCCACGCCCCATCCTCCTTCTGCAGCTCTACTTCCCAGGAAGCCCCAAGAGCTTGGATCCCATCCTCCCCTGCTCCTGGGGACTAGGGGTGCTGCCTGCTCCACTTCTTCCCAGGGGTTGGGGTGCCCGGTGCCCAAAGCACTGTAAAGGTGGGGTGGGGGAGAAACATGGAGTCGCAACACCCCTCAAATCTATGGGGCAGCTGAGCCAAATTTGAGTGAGTGGTGGTGTGACCTGGTGCATGGGGTCGCAGTGTCACTCAAATTTGGCCTGGTTGCCTCTCCCTCATGATAGTGCCAAATTTCTAGCTCCAGTCTAGGGCCAAGTGGGGTGGAGGTGGGGGGGGAGGGTGAGCCCTCTGAGCCCCCCGCTGCACCCATTTTAAAGATGTATCAAGACCTGCTCTGTATTGGGCTTCTCCCCTTCTATAACACAACACTACCACGCTCTAAGGGAACCTCCTCTCCTCCCCAACAAGGCTCAGCCTCAGCAGGGCCATAATTGAACCCTGCTAACCTTTACCAGTCAGCAGAAGAATTCCCAGTATTTTACGCTAAGAATTTTAGAAGTCTCAACCTTTAGCATCAATACAAGAGTTCCGAAGATACCTTTATTTTGATGAAGGGTAGCCAGCAGCTAGAAGATTTATTAATAGGATCTCTGGGCTGGATTTTCCCTACTATTCCACATTACAACTACATACCCTTTCTCTGGGTTCACCACAATGGCCCGGGGCCTGTCGTCTTCTCCTTTCAGCACCACGCCCATTGGTCTCCCATCCAAGCGTGTCACATTAATCACATTAGTGGCTTCACAAGTCCAGTAGATGTAGCGACTGTAGATATCAATGCTCAGATCATAGGGCTGCATGTCCAGGTTCTGATTGGGAACCGGACTCGTCACCACAGTAAGGCTCTGGGAAATCACCAGAAGGATATTACATTAAGGGTGTCACCTAGAATTGTATTTGCTATATCTGCTGTATGTGAAATTGTTCAAAGTTAGAAGGAGGCCTCCAAAATATAATCCTAGACCAGGGAACACATGTTCAGTTGTTTCTCTCTCTCTGTCCCTTGGTGAGCAACAGCAGAGTGAGCAGTGGACACAAAACACTTACCCCAGCAGATTTAGGGGGATGGAAATCATACCATTTGGTTGCAGCTCAGAAGAACTAATGATGTTGTTGGGCTTTGTGGGGGTATCAAAGGTGGATGGGGGAGTGGCACCGACACTCACCAGTGCCAGGAGTTTTGAGAGGCTGTGGACGCTGTACGACTGGCTGTACTATGCCTTAAAGGACAATTATTGTCTGCTGAAAATTTCTCTCTCATTCACCAATCCAAAACAGATTAGAGTGGTTGGGATTTAACCAATGTAAGAGAGAAGACAGCTAGATCACTAAAGTCAAGGTTTCCACTGGGAAAGACACTCTCTGGGCCTTGGCATGGCACAGTTTTGATGTTTCACTTCTCATGGGGTTTTGATGTTTCACTTCTCATCCTCTTTTTCTTAATAAACCAAACTCCTTAGACAGTCCAGTTCCTCAGTACATAGACTAACGTGAATACAGAACATGAAGCTCTCTACAACAGAAAGTCCATGTCACCAATAATCCCTAAACCTGAGCAGTCTATAGGATCGATGAGCAGGAAAAGAAACGTTCAGGCGGCCAGCAGATGGCTTGGACAACAGCTCTTGCATCAATCCTCCTACATCATTTTCATCACATGTGATTTTCCTTCTCACATATTAGGGAACCCTGCTAATTGGTAGAGGGAATATCTGCTAGCACTAGTCCTTGGTCTAGGTATGAAATTTAGCACTTTGGAATATTCCCATTTTACTCCCTTTTAAGTTTTCCCTGTTCCACCTACTCAAGTGTTTCAACTATGTGTAATCCCCCTTTCTGGCCCTCTTCAGTGTATAGAAAATTATTATGAAGAAATTAAAATCTCTCTCCACAGATAAGATCGAAGTAGTCTTCTCTGTGACAAACCCGATTTACCCCACCCAGGCAACTTTATTAGAGACATATCGATCCAACTGAAATTCCATGTACCACATCTTAGCCTCCGACAGTCTCTCTAGAAAGCCTGGAGTAAATTCAATGTGACATTCTGGGGATAGAGGTGCTTCGTAAAGTAGTTTGTCTTGCACTTTTGAAAAATTTGCCTAACTTTTTTTTTGGCTTGTCACATCTTCCAAAGCACTTGGCCTAGAAACTGCACACTTGTTTTATTTTGCTGGTCCTGGAGAGATCTGGCACTTTTGACTAGTTTTGGATGTTAAATTATTTAGATGTTCACAAAAAACATCCCTAAATAGGAGTGAAGGCTGATCAAGCATTTCAATGGAATCCAACTCACACTTCCCACACCCTCCTTAAGAAACTGCACTTTCTTTTAACAAAAAACATTTACGTCTTCAATTCCCCGCCACCAAAAATAAATAAAACATTTTAAAAGTCTGAGAATGAACACTTGTATAAGCCTTAATCAATTACTGTTACCTCACCCATCCTGCACCACCCTTTGTCTCCGGCCCCATCCATGCCTCCTCTCTGCTCCCCAATCATGTGCTCCCTTTCCATGCTGCTGGGACTCTTGCAACTCTGGCCTTGGCTACACTTGCAGCTGTACAGCGCTGTGAGGTTAAACTGTCTTCGTACAGCTGAGTAGGGAAAAGCGCTGCAGTCTGTCCACTCTGCCAGCTGCCAGCGCAGTGGCGTGGCCACACTTGCAACATTTGCAATTTGTTGGGAGCGGTGCATTATGGGCAGCTATCCCAGCATTCATGTGGCTGCAACGTGCTTTTCAAAACGGGGGGGGGAGGGGGGCGAGTGTGGGGGGGAGAGAGTGCTTTTTGGAGCGTGTCAGCTCTCTATTTTGCAAGTTCCGAACTCCCGGCCCCTGCTCATTCATTCACTCACTCAAAGCAAACAGCAAACTGTTTGCTTTTTCTCTGTGGTACAAGCTTTGAAACCGGCACTTCCTCATTCCTGCAGCCGGTCACAACAATGGAGAGGATTGGCCACTTGACAAGGTGATTAGTACAGCGCTGCAAGCATTTACACTCACACCCGTGAGTCGTAGCCACTCTGCTGTATCTCTTATGCTTCTCGGGGAGGTGGAGTACCTGCAGCGGTGTACCCAGGGAGATACAGCGCTGTAAGTGCCTTGCCAGTGTGGACGGGGAGTAAGTTACAGCGCTGGGGGAGACTTTACAGCGCTGTAACTTGCAAGTGTAGCCAAGGCCCCTGTTTCATGCCTCTCATCCAGTGTCCCACTGGTCTACTACCCCACTCCGTGTGCCTCTCCTCATGCCTACACCAGAACTCCCCAACTCCCAGACAGGAGCTGCATACCACATTGGCATGCAGTCCCAAATCTCTTACTCTCAAGTCAGTGTACCTTCCCGGGTCAACTCTATTCCCCTGCACAGACTATTGCCCCCTCTGTATTTCCTACATGAATCCTACTATCCATTTCTATTGAGGTTCTCATCACCACCAGCTCAGACCAGCTACAGCGAACCTGGAGCTAGCAGGAGGTAGGTCTATTTATATTATTTAAAATGTAATCATTGCTTCATATAAACAGTGCCTCATCTCTTTGCAATTCCTCTCACTGGATACCTGGCTGCCATCTTCTTGTGCCTTCCGGATAATGTTCTGCCGAGAGTCAATCCAATAAAGCTGCTTATCTAGGGGGTCATAATCGATGGCCCGGACGTTCCTGAGACTGTGGATCGGGAGTATGATATCTGGACTCTGTTGCTCATCTATCACCATGCGATTAATTGCGTTCTTCTGACTGAACAACAGGAAAGTTGTAGGAGCTTTAAAAAAAAAGGGGGACACACATACAGAGCAGAAACACTGGTTATCTATATACCCAGTACTAGCATTACTACACAAAAGCTATCAATACCCTACATTCCCCCAGAAACTACCCCTTTCCTCCTCCCCACACATACACACATTTGCACAGACAGAGCTTTTTTTTTTTTTGGAAGGGCTTTAAAGGCATCTTTTAAAATAAATTCTTATGTGTGGGGATGTAAAAAGCAAGGATAATTTCAAATGCAAAGAGAAGAAAGACTATGGACACACTTGTTGAAATTATCACAAAATCCAGGTTATCAATTTAAAACACTTCTCCCAAGTCTCTTTATAGCATCCTTTTAGCTCAGTGGTCTGCCTACAATAAAGTTATAGTGCACTGTAATCCACGTCCCAGCATCCTCAGTAAAGTAGAGCTCAAGCCTGGAAAGATCAGCAGGGGGACATTTCACCCATTCCAACCTATAAAACACACTAGGTAACACCTGGGGGAATGAGGTTCCAGAGAACATCCTCTGTCTTTATTATTTTAGGCATGTACTTTGAGTAGTTTTTCTGGCTGCTGCTAAGAAAAAAGTTTCATTGGCATAAAAATATACTTTTCACACTGTTCAAAATTCTGACCTAGGTGCAGGTTATTTTTGCTTTTTGAAAAACCTGGATTTTCCCCCAAGCATTTCACCGGTGACTTTTTTCTATATTTAATCACTAATTAATAGAAGATAAGACAAAAGCAAACCAAACACACACACACACACACACAGTTTGTTGTACGCATGTAGTATAAACAGCAAAATACCACATTTGGAAAGGTCAAATCCCTTATTCATTAGATAAACCCGCATGTTAAGGGACACATGCAAAAGAGGACGGTTTAGACCAAAACAAAGGAAGTTGTGAAAGGAGGCTTGCATGCTTTCAGTTACAAACAGTCAAATCCCTCTGCTCCTCCCTTCCAGAGACCCTCTGTCATTCTCAGAGATCCACTCGGTAAGAACTTCAAAAGGAAAGTTATCAAATAATTGTCTTCTTGGTATCTGTAAACTCAGACTTCTCTAGCATTAGTATTATCCAAATGGATGGCTCATTGTATGTGGTGGTAGGGCAAATTTCCCATTTTAAGTCCCTCCATTCTCTGCAACTCAGTTTGGGTTTTGAAAAGCATTTTCCATTCTCCAATGTAATTTCTCCCAACAGTCATATATTTTAACTATATTTCTGGAAGGAACTGTGGGTGAAACACAGCAGCATCCCAGCTGGGGAACTGCTCTTCAAGCTCAACAATGCAGTGTTGGCTCTGAAAGTTTGAGTTCCCAGCTCTAGTTGCTCTCCTTCCCATAATTAAAAGAATATGTGCATTGTGGTCAACAAAGGGAGGAACTGGCCTCTAGACAGGACTTGTGCTAGAATAATGCTCAGAAACACATAACCAAGTAAAATAGGCAAGAGAAGGTTAAAATAATCCATGCTCCAATTACAGAGGCCAAGAGAAAAATTAAATTACAAGCAGAAAAATCTAAGTCTCCAATTACCTACAAATGAGAAGTGGGAAATCTACCAGGATTGAACATAGCTGAAAAGCTATTAATGCCTAATGAAAGACTTTGAACCACACTGTTTCGGAACAGTTCTACATCTTTATAGTATAACATGTTTCCTGTATTTTTCTCATTGCTTTTTAACTAAACATTTCCAAGAAAACAGGATCTTTACGTGACTTTATTACTTATTTCTTGTCCAAAGACAAAACCCCCTGCTTATGATATCATAGTTATCACCACAACTATGTCAATTATTCTTTTGACATGCAGTAAAGGAGGAACAAGGGAATGGTACAAAGATTTTGTTTGCATGCAAGTGGTTCCTTGTAATAAACAGAAATACCAAAAATGTGGGGTGTGCAAAGCAGAAATGTTTCCAAGAGAATGATTTTCAAAGTATTCCATGGAGGTGACAGTCTCAGAATAAGTGACACCTGACTTGGGCTTAGTGCAGCAGTTAGATCTCTTTACTCATGCATAATGCAGATGAGATAATATCTGACTCTCTTAACCCACTGACTAATCTGAATGACACCAGCAGAAACCATCCAAGCATCTTGGCAGTCAAAAACGGAGGTTACTTGCCAGTAACTGGAGTTTCTTCAAGATGTGTGGTCCCTATCTGTATTCCACACATTAGGTATGCATGTGCACTGTGTGCCCGAGTCCAGAAGTTTTTGCAAGCAGTGTCCAATGACCCACACATGTACTGTAGCTCTCATGTTCCAAACCAAGAGCATAAAAGGTGATGCGGGCCGATGCCTTTCCAGTTTCCATTCTTACCGCAGTTCAAACAATCCACAGCAGAGGGGACGGAGGGCAGGTAGGGAGGCCACACACCTTGAAGAGCATCCAGTTAACAGTAAGTAGCCTGCATTTCTTCCTCAAGTGATGGTCTCTATGTGTATTCCCCATGTGGGAGATTAATCAGTGATAAGACCAGAGGTGGGTGCAAGAAGGCCAACGCTGACTGTAGTACCGCTGTCCCCACAGCTGTGTCTGCATTTGACCGGACCAGAGCATTATGACTTGTGACGGTATGCAGAGAGCTCCAATTAGCTGCCCTCCATATCGCTGGGAAGGGTACATCTCTCAGCAATGCAGCCAAAATAACTTGCCCTCTAGTAGAATTAGCCCTCACCTGCTCTGGAGGGGAAATATAAGCTAGTTGGTAACAAAGAGTAACACAACTCGAGATCCATTTTGAAGGTCTTTGTATCTATGTAGCTTGACCCCTTGATCACTCTGCTATGAAAACGAATCGTTTAGGTGTCTTAACATCATTTGTTCTTTGCAGATAAACGGCCAAAGCACTTGAGACATCTAGAGAATGCAGTCAGCTCCCTTCATCTGAGGCACGCAATTTTCGAAAAGATACCGGTAAATGGACTACTTGACTCATATGAAACTCAGAAGCTATTTTAGGAATGAATCTATGGTGGGGTTATAACAAGACCTTTTCTTTATAGAATGTAGTATACGGTGGGTCCACCATGAGCACTCCCAGCTCACTAACCCTTCTAGCTGACATTGTGTCTATTAGAAAGGCCACCTTCATGGACAGGTGGGTCATAGAACATGTGGCTAGAAGCTGAAAGGGGGAAGGGGAGCTAGCAAGCAACGACAAAACAAAACTGAGGTTCCACTAAGGTGCAAACTTCACCAATGGTGAAAAGGATCTGAGACGCCTCTTCAAAAATCTAGTTGTGACAGGATGAGTGAATACTGTATGGTTATCCACCAGAAAATGGAAATTGCTGATCGCTACTGACCGCTATATGGCAGGCGACCAGCTTGGCTTAACAGTGAAATCCTTGCTGATCTTAAACACAAAAAAGAAGCTTACAAGAAGTGGAAGATTGGACAAATGACCAGGGAGGAGTATAAAAATATTGCTCAGGCATGCAGGAGTGAAATCAGGAAGACCAAATCACACTTGGAGTTGCAGCTAGCAAAAGATGTTAAGAGTAACAAGAAGTGTTTCTTAAGGTATGTTAGCAACAAGAAGGAAGTCAAGGAAAGTGTGGGCCCCTTACTGAATGAGGGAGGCAACTAGTGACAGAGGATGTGGAAAAAGCTAATGTACTCAATGCTTTTTTTTTGCCCGTCTTCACGAACAAGGTCAGACCCCAGACTGCTGCACTGGGCAGCAAAGCATGGGGAGGAGGTGACCAGCCCTCTGTGGAGAAAGAAGTGGTTCAGGACTATTTAGAAAAGCTGGTCGAGCACAAGTCCATGGGGCCGGCTGCACTGCATCCGAGGGTGCTAAAGGAGTTGGCGGATGTGATTGCAAAGCCATTGGCCATTATCTTTGAAAACTCATGGCGATCGGGGGAGGTCCCGGATGACTGGAAAAAGGCTAATGTAGTGCCCATCTTTAAAAAAGGGAAGGAGGAGGATCTGGGGAACTACAGGCCAGTCAGCCTCACCTCAGTCCCTGGAAAAACCATGGAGCAGGTCCTCAAGGAATCAATTCTGAAGCACTTAGAAGAGAGGAAAGTAATCAGGAACAGTCAGCATGGATTCACCAAGGGCAAGTCATGCCTGACTAACCTAATTGCCTCCTATGACGAAATAACTGGCTCTGTGGATGAGGAGAAAGCAGTGGACGTGTTATTCCTTGACTTTAGCAAAGCTTTTGATACTGTCTCCCACAGTATTCTTGCCAGCAAGTTAAAGAAGTATGGGCTGGATGAATGGACTATAAGGTGGCTAGAAAGCTGACTAAATCGTCGGGCTCAACGGGTAGTGATCAATGGCTCCATGTCTAGTTGGCAGCCGATATCAAGCAGAGTTCCCCAAGGGTCGGTACTGGGCTGGTTTTGTTCAATATCTTCATTAATGATCTGGAGAATGGAGTGGATTGCATCCTCAGCAAGTTTGCAGATGACACTAAACTGGGAGGAGTGGTAGATACGCTGGAGGGTAGAGATAGGATACAGAGGGACCTAGACAAATTAGAGGATTGGGCCAAAAGAAATCTGATGAGGTTCAACAAGGACAAGTGCAGAGTCCTGCACAGCTGCGAGGAGCGGCACCCAGGAGCCGGCAAACAGGGCTGCTAACAGGGGAGTTTAAGTGGGAGTTTACAGGGGGAGGTGGAAGGGGAGGCAGGAGGGTGTGGTGCCCGGTGTGCTCTGTGTCCCCAGGAGCAGCAGGCAGAGACCACAGCGGCCATGAGCCAAGCGGCAGGGGACACAATGCAGATGATTGCATGTGGCAGTTGCGGTATGTACACGGTCCTCCCTGGGGAGCCTGAACAAAGGTATGTTTGCATGAAATGCCGCCTAATAGACCTGCTAGAGGAAAAGATTAGAGGGCTCCAGATGCAGGTAGATACCCTGGTAGAGTTCAGAAGGGGATTCGAGCAGCTAATGGAGCAGAGACAGGGTGTGGCAGAAGGGGAATGCTCAGGGGTGCAGGTGGAAGCACAGGCTATGGTCTGTGAGGGGGGA